GTTTGGGGCCTCTAATATGGGAATTTAAGGTTTAGGGTTTAGGGTTCAGGGTTTAGGGTTTAGGGTTTAGGGTTCAGGGTTTAGGGTTTAGGGTTTAGGGTTCAGGGTTTAGGGTTTAGTAAGGGTTTTAGGTTTGGGCCTCTATATGTGAATTGAAGGTTTAGGGCTTAATCAGGGCTTTAGGTTTGGGGCCTCTAATATGGGAATTTGAGGTTTAGGGCGTAATTAGAATATGGAATTTATGGCTTAGGAGTTAGTTAGGCTTAGGGTTTTAGGTTTAGGGTTTACGGTTCAAGGTATATGGGAATTTAAGGTTTAGGGCTTAATTGGGGTTTTAGGTTTAGGGTTCACGGTTCCAGGTTTAGGGCGTAGGCTTTGGGTATAGTATATACTATGCCCCAAGCCTTATCCCTAAGGGTCCATGTATTCATATAGCATATACATGGGCCCTAAAGTACCTATATAGGGACTACATTAAGGCCAATGCTGTTTGGGTACATGGACCCTTAGGGTATTCTAAGGACCAAGCTTCATATCGAAATACGTTTAGGTTTGGTTGGGTTTCACCGCAGACTTTGGGCTGTTGTAGGATTTGGTTCGTCGTGGTTTCAGTTTAGGGTTGAGGCTTTAGGAGTTTAGTCTACCCCAAACCCTAAACCCTAATAATTATAGGGGCCTTAACAATTACCTATACTGTCTTGGTGGGTTCCTTATTCTGATTACAGTATAATATACCCCTAGAACCATATATTCTAAATATTAAGGCCCCTATATTAAACCCTAAGAGCGTCAGGACAAGGGGGCTCTTTGAAGAGAAGGTCTTTTGGGTTCACGTAGGCTTTTGAGTATATTCGGCATAATGCGGGCGTCTGTCCGGAGCAACAGTGGCCATATGACAGACAGTATTTTTGGGGTGTTTTGTGAGGGATCTCAATATCAACGCCTGAGGGGTTATGAGAAAGTTCCTTCGGGTTGCTAGCCTGACTACACTGCAGTATTCCCCAAAGCCCTTCTTTCTAGTGATGAAATTATAAAGGCTCGTATATTGCGGCCTTCTGGGCTGTGACTTGCTGCGACCCCTAAAGCCCGAAACCCAGATGGACTACCACAAATTCGGTTCGGAGTCTAGCGGGGTGGAGCTGTGGGGGCTCAGGGCTGTTTATTGTTCAGGTCCTTCAGGTAAAGAAGGTTTTAGGGTTTGGGGAAAGGTTCAGTCATTGAAGGCGTTCAGTCATTCAAGGCTTGTGGGCTGTAGGCACATTTTTTTAGGCTTTGCAGTTCGTAGAGGCTCAATGCATATTGCAGAAAAATAAAGAGTTTGATTGGTCTCAAAACGGTTAGCTTTGTGCGTCACTTGGCTTTAGATGCCTGAACTCTACACTTCAGCCAGCTCGGCACATGTTGCTATTAAGCCCGTAAAACCTAAACCCTAAACACTGAACCCTGAACCCTTAAACCCTAAACCCTAAACTCTGAACCCTTAACCCTTAAAACCTAAACCATAAACCCTTAAACCCTGAAGCCTTAAACCCTGCACCCTAAACCCTAAACCCTGAACCCTTAAACCCTGCAGCCTAAACCCTAAACCCTGAACCCTTATAAACCCAAACTCAAATCTGAGCCCCAATCCCTAAACCCTAAACCCGGAGCCCTAGACCCTCTGGGCCCCGCAAGGCCTTCTCGGTTCGCTTCAACGCCGATCACAATTTCCTTGCGGCGGCCGGTGGCCACGGCACGGTGCGGAAACCCGGAGTATTTTACACCGGACCCCAATCCCTAGACCCTAAACCCTAAACCCCAATCCATAAACCCTAAACCCCAATCCATAAACCCTAAACCCCAAACCCTAGACCCTAAACCCTAAACCGTAACCCCCAATCCACAAACTCTAAACCCAAAGCCCTAATCCCCAAACCCTAAACCCTTAACCCCTCAGTGGTGGTTTACACCGGATCTAGGGTCGACTTTGCGAATCGGTTTAGGGCTTTCGGGGTTTAGGGGGGGGGTTTAGGGGTTTAGGGGT